AGAGAGAGAGAGAAAGAAAGAAAGAAAGAAAGAAAGAAAGAAAGAAAGAAAGAAAGAAAGAAAGAAAGAAAGAAAGAAAGACAGGAAGGGGAAGGGGAAGAGGAAGGGGAAGGGAAGGATGATTTGTAGGTCTTTGTCCACACCAACTTTGCATCTCTGCGTACTGTCAGCTCACACATAACCCTCCACTTTGCTGGAAAGTATTACCTAAAACTCCCTCTTCTCTAAACCCTTGGAAATGCATTTGGGGGAAAAGTGACCTAGTCATTCAGAACTGGTTTGCCTCTATCTAGTACAGTCACGAGCCCCTTTCTAGTGTGTGCAAAAGTCATTTCCCCTAGTGGGCTTCTCTGGAGAAGGGATATCTGAGGGAGGACAGGGCCTTAGTGCACAGTTTTAAAAGTAAGCACCCCATAGAATAGGGGAAAAAAAAAAAGCCAGTTTAACCTGAGCCTTGTAACAGAGAGGGGAGTGTGTGGGGAGAACAAGAGGGAGATCCAATTAATTACCCTTAGAAGCAAAGGTAAAAGTTGAAGATTACGAGACCCATTTACAGGAGGGAATAGACCCATCATTGAGCCTAGAGAATGGGAGGATTGTTTAGGGCCAGAAAAGCGTCTCAATGTTCAGATTCCTTTCCTTTTCTGGAGCTTTGGAGAGAGGAAGGTCATAGCTTGGGCTTGGAAGGTATACTTAGCAGTGGCTTCAGCCTAGGAGGGGGGCTGTTGTCTTGGGTCCAATTCTGAGCCCGCAGCCTGCCCCCACCCTAAGGGAACAAGAGCGTCAATCCTCTCTGGAAGCAGGTATGAGCTGGCAAAGGAAGGGGTGCCTCCTGTGTGAGAGGCCCATCCATTATCATCACAAGGGCTGATGTCACAGACCCCACAAAGCAGCTGGGGCCCCAAATGCAGGGTAACCCTAACCCCAACAGAGATGAAACAGATAGAGGGAGAGCTCTCCTACACAAAGCCCAGGCCCTCCTCCTCCTTCCACTTCCTCAAGAGCCTTTGTCTTCTGGTCCCTTGGGCTTGAATCCTCTCTCATTCCCCACAAATGCTGCCCATTAAATTCAAAATGAGGCCTCTGGGGAAAGGGTCTTGCACTTTCCCTTTCTTTTCTTCCCCATCCTCATCAGCCTGGCCAGCTGTGAGAAAGGGGCAAGTTGGTAACTGCTTCACAACTTTCCCTTGGTTTGTTTTTCCCCTTTAGAGATTCCCTGCTGATGGTCCCTCCTGAGTAAGGCTGTAGGCCCCAAACTGACAGTCAGCACCTAGAGACTGTGGAAAACGTTCTGTGGTGAGTCAGGTTCATTTGGAATCTAATGGCAGCCAAACCTCTGTACTGGCCATCTTTGTCATCTCCTTAATCAACTGTAGGCCTCTGACTTCTGAGGAGTGTGGAGTACTCTTGTCCCCTTAGTGCCACAAACCAGTGTGGCCAGAGAAAGGAAGTGCCTTTACTCATCTTTAGACATGACCTGGGGTTCTGATGGGGGCTTTCAGAAAAAGGTGGGTGGTAGAACAGCAGATTGTGAAAACCTGCCAGAGCTATAGGACCTAGGGAAAGGATGCTGCTGCTCAGAATTTCTGGCTTTCTCTCAGGGGCAGAGCAACATTTCCGAAGGGCTTTAGCTATTCACGGCATTTTAGTTATTAATCTTTCTTAAATATTGACAAAAGCCATAAATCTTCCCAGAAAACCTTGGTGGGAACACACACACACACACACACACACACACACACACACACACTCTTACACTTTAAGGTTTTTGGGACCCCTGGTGAAGAACTGAGCTCTAGAAGGAATTACAAGCTTTGGCAACAAAGTAAAAGAGCAGGTAAGGTTCTAGTGGTGATGTTGGGCAGATTCTACTTGAAAGACTAGCTTTACACTAAGCAAGCAGCTGACAGACTGATCTGAAAGGTTGCTCCTGCTTCCTGCAGAGGTGCATAAATGGCATCATTAGCACCAACCCTGTGTTGAGTTTAGAAGAAACCAGAAGGCAGAGCAGCTCTGGACACATTTGCCAATGCTTGGCCCTGAGGCACACTGTAGAAGTGGAGAGAAGAGGCCTTACACTGTGCATGTGCTGTGGCTCAGGACAGGCTGCTCATTTTAGCTTTCCATGGCTCATCTGTCACATCACTGTAAACTAAGGACCATCACTCTGGTTTCAATAGGAAGAATGATGAAATGTAGGGAGTTGCCTAATTTGTTCAAGGTCATTTAGGGAGTTAGCAATGCTGCAGGGATAGAAACCCAGGCCTCTCAGGTGTCAAAGTCCATCACACAAGACTTCACTGAAAAGGTTCTTCCGGGCCTCTTTCCCAAGCCAGCCTAGGAGGTAAGCAGGTGAGCTGCTACACTGACATTCTGGACTTACTCACCATAGTCCCATGTGCACCTGGCAGATTTTTCACCATCTTCCAAGCACATACCAGGCTTGTGCCAATTTTGCACTCTACTGTGGTCTGTACCTCAAATATCCCCACAGTTTAACCCAGCGGTCAGAGATGTGCAAGGCCACAACACAGCACCTTGTCTTGTGCAGAGACAGGCTTTCTCTATACCAGCATCCTGCCTACTTTACTACTTAGTCCAGCTGAGTGGCAAGCGTTTGTTGGTGTCTACCACCAACCACACCTACACTTTGTAAAAGTTATAGAAGAACAAAAAACCCAGGAGACAACACTGTGGCTTTTGAAACAGGTATGTAGGCCCTCTCGTTTAATAGCAATTAAAAGAGAAAATGTACAAGGGGAATGAACATGCTCTTTCCACAGAGGCACTTTCCCCTAACCATCAGGCCCATTTACATCAGTAGCTCTACTATCATTTTAGAGAAAGAAGTTCCCTTTAGAGTTAAAAACAGACCACTAAAATTTCCCCATAAATGTGTAACTACTTGTGCAAAATAAAAAGGCCATTTCCAACACATTAGTGAAAAGTCATTATAAGTGCAAGCAAAGAAAGAAGGAAAAAGGAAGTAAATAGAAAAAAAAACAGAAAAACAAAAGAATTAAAAAAAAAAAAAAGAAGAAAGGAGTCAACTGAAGCAGTCAGAAGAGTCCTTGGAGAAGGAAGACTCGAGTAGAGGGCTTTCTGAAGCAGCCCTCAGAGTGTACTCAGAGACCCAAGGAAGGTTGCGGCCAATGCCATTCCTTTCCTGGGTCTGGGACTTGATAAGCTAGCACTGGTCAAGTATGCAGCAAAGCTAGATGACTTTGAGGGACAGGGAGACTGGCCTGGTGTACAATGAAACCACCAGGAATACTCCATGAGGGGCTTTTGCCAACAGTGATGCTGCTGGTTCTAATTCCAGGTTTTTCTTGTTCTCCACTGACAACAGTGAGTGCTAAAACTACTCAAGTTGTCTATATTACTACTGAAACCCACGAGGGTCCCAAACCAGACTCTTCAGAAACATAGATCTGTGTTTTTCAGAACATGGGCAATAGCTCACAGTGATCAGAAGGAAGAGGCTTCCAACCACACGTTTCTGCCCTTTTCTAAACACTCCAGGAACTAATACATATGTTGGCATGTGAGCCAGATATGAGGAGTCTGAGTGGCATGAACACATGCTTTGCATAAGTCCTTTCAAGTGGTGGCTCAGGTATAGGCCTGCAGACAAAACTAAGAAACTCTCACTTCACCAATTTAAAACTCCTTGACATTGCTGGTCCCTATTTTCATCTTTCCTGGGTCACTAAGAATAAGTCTCTATGTACACTTCAGAAGCAGCATGTTGGTTTGTTTTGTTAGTGAGGAGTAAAGGCAAATGGAGAAGTAAGAGGAGGTACACCAAGAGGCCTTATGAGTTGTGTGCTTGAATAAGCCTTTTCTTTAGCAGGACTTCATGTCAAAGATGTAGAGCAGCCCCTATTTCTCCATGTTGTTCATCTTTTCCTCTACAGTACAGGTCTTCCAGGGCAGATGTTTGTGAGTAGACCAGCAATAATGACTCTCTAGAAAGATGAATGCTGCACCATGCTTGAAATTCACTCCACTCCATTCAAAGGCTCAGCATGCAAAGCTGAAGAGATCTTACTACAAACTGCGTACTAGTATAGAAGGGTATCTGGGGTCCTTCTGAAGTAGTAGGACTTCATATCAGCATGACCATTTCTCACCTTTTCCAATACAGTTATGGGCTTGGAATCTCTTAGGTCTCATTCCTACAGGCCACTGACTTCTTTTGGCTTATCAAACCATCGTTCTAAAACCCTGGGCCAACTGCTTAGCCCATAAGCTAAGTGTCAAAGGCTTGCAGAACTTGGATGCAGCCTGGTTGTTCCAGCTTTGAAAAGGGCTGCACATCAGCATGGATATTTTCTTTTTCATGGTTTTCAAGATATGATATGATAATGGTAGGGGGTAGAGAATGAAAAAGGAAGCACTACTTTGCTCAGAAGCGACTCAATGGCTGACAAAAGTTGTGCAAAATTCTGATCGATGAAACTTCCTTCCACTAATCCAAGGTGGAAATGCCCACATGGCTTGTCATTATATGGTGATGCACAAGTCCACCCTTACCAGTATGTGTAGTAGCATCTTCTTGAAGTGTCTGAAACTGTAGGTTCCTCTAACTGATCTTATAGCAAAGCCCTTACCTTAAGGCTCTGGAGTCCATCTGGGAACACAGACACTGCCTCCAAGATAAGTTGGTTTAGGCTCCAGAGTTTGGGAGATAGGATTATAGGCAATTATTCTCAGATAAGGCCAAAGGTGGCTTTGGGAATGGACTTTAGAAAACAATAAAAGCCTTGGGCTTGACTAAAAATAGCTTTGGATATAGTATAGAATTTAGTAAAAATTTCAACTGGGCAAGAGGCAAGATGCCTCTAGCCCTAGTTGGTGGCAGTGGCTTTATCCTTACTCTAGCCACGGCTGCCTCCACAGTGCAGATCTGGGGACATTCCCCTTAAACATGTTGGCCAGAAAGTTGTTTTAAACACAAATGAACATTCCAAGTAATCATTGGGTTTTCTGTAAGGATAAAGGGAGGGCTATTTCCAGGCTTTTAAGATCTGGCTGCTTGAAGAAACAAGCTATGCCTCTCTCTGTGAGGACCTACAGAAATGACTGTTGAGCTACATTCTGAACCAAGTGCTCTGACCATCACAGAAGGGAATAAGATAAAGAGGAAAAGGGTCTGGGGCTGTAATTCAAATTGTTCTCTTTTAAGATCCAGCAAAATACCCTAGGCTGAGCCCAACATTGCCAATGTGAGGGCAATGTGCAGTGAATCCTGGGATCCAGTGGTATAGTTGTTTATCCTTCCATAGAAAACTAAAGAGTAAAACTCCTGGGTCATAATCAGAGCTTAAGAAACTGCATCCTTGGGGAACTGAAGTGAAGCTGTCACCTTGCCACAAGCTATGCTTGTGTGCTAGTCAATGAAAATCAGCAGATTGAGAGATGGACATCCAGAACTATCTTTGGTGTACTAAGTAATGTCTGATAGGCTCTTCCCTTGTATCAGGATGGACCAGCCTTATCTATGTGGAAAAGGGCATGTAGGAGTGAACAGGATGTATTTTATTACTTTTTGGTTACTCACCTTACCTCCCAGAAAAAGCACCCTGGATAGTTCCTGGGCTTCAGTACTAAACTGTAGAGCTATGGAAGAGAGGTGGTTCATCACATCTGGAATGATACCACTTCTTTTCTAGGATAATACAGACAGTGTAGCAATAACCTTCTGAGTCCCCACCTAGCAACATCATATGTACTTGCTTATCCTTATGTCTCTTTCACTAGGGAAAGATTATGTGAATACTGTACAGGGTTAATAAAAAAATACATATGTTCTCTTTGAAGAAGAAAGCACAAATGCAGTGCCAGCTTGAGCTGGATCCTAGACTGTGGAGCTGCAGGAAATAGCCCCTGTAGGCTGAGGCCAGCCTTCACGAATGGTGGCTGCTGATGAGTCCTCGAAGCTGCTTGGCCACAGTGTCAATCAATTTCTGCTTGTCTCGCTCATTTTTCCGAAACTGTGCAAACATATTGTTCTTGCGGCTAGTATCCTTCATCCTAAACAGAGAAGGAAAAAAAGAGGGGAAAGGGTTTGAGGAGATATTAGAAGAGAAATTGCAGAAAGTAGGATGACATGATGTATTCTAACTGCTATCCAGAGTGCAAGAGTCCAGACCTTTCCCATTGTGAGGCCTGTACTTACCTACTGATCAGGAAGCTGTCCTTCTGGCATGCCCAGCCCTCTCAATTTCAGTCATATTTGGAAAATGGCCAAGAGCCAGCTTTGGAGGGACCAATCTTCTTATTTGCCCCTCACCTGCCCACCTCAGGCATTCCCTTCTCTCCCCAGGTATGCACCTGATACAGGAGGATGAGACATGCTACAGCTTTCTTGGGCAGTAAGCCCTTACAGAATGTCCAGCATCCACTCATTACTTTATGAACCTGTTGGGACCTTACAGAAGGTATTTGGAAGTGAAGCATTAAAATGTCCATAAAACTAGCAATTCCAAGAGAATATGAATAAGTAAAAGTCACTGTGTATTTCTAAGCCTCACTCTAGCTGGTTTCTTTCTCCCATCCCTAAAGAAATTGAGAGTTGACCAATCCCTTTTCTTTGGTCTTAGAGTTAGGCCCTGATAGGCAGGCAGTCACGTGACTAAATAAGTGTGCTAAGGAAGGAAGATACCAAAGGGGAGACCATCCTTTCACTTGAGAAACCAGGGCTTTATGCTAGAAAAGCCTTTGAATTATGGCTGTCTATATTCTTAGATGTTTGATCTTTGGGTCATGCTAAAGCTTCACAGATGACACTAGTTCTAGAGTACAAACAATGGGAAGTTCTGGCCACTGGTTATGTGAGATGCAGAAGCCTACCTGGGAAGCATGGACAAAGGAACTGTCACAAAACCTCCAAGTCTGACCAAGTCATTTTGACAAAATCTATAAATCTGCCTTTCTAGATCCTCCTAGCACCTATTGGTGATGATTAACTCTGGTCCCAGCCTCTATACACCAAAGCCCAAGTCCACAACTACTTTTAGTGTCAGACAATTAAGGATAGTAGACAGACTCCTTTCTCTGGAATAGTGAAGACCAGCCTTTACACCATTCCTTTGGGAGCTGGGCCAGCTCCTGTACTTCGTGGCTCCCTGGGCTGCATGGAGATAGGCTATAAATGGGAAGAGACAGAGGCTGACAGTGAAGTACAAATTATTCCCAGATATTCTTCCCACAGGACTTTGAGTAAGCCTGGGCCTTTTTCCCCCTCACTGGGTTGTGGTTTGTAAAGGGGGCAGATTAGAGATCAGTTAAGTCAAAAGGGCAGAGATTTTACAAGGGCATTTATGTCTGCTATATGTATATAGTATCATACATTCCAATATATATTCCAATATATATATTCCAATATCTTAAAGGTATTTTATATGGCAAAAAAAGTTCTGATGAGAACCACAGCTGTATAGCTTTGCTTGATGACAGCCAAAACTAATTGAGACTTTTCTTCCTAATTTAAGCTCAAAGTAGCTCCTTTGGGTTGGAATTATTAATTAAATACACTCAGAATCACCACCAAGATGTGGAGACCTATGCTTCCAGAAGAAAGTAGGGGTAGCTGGGCTTGGGTAAAAAGAAAGCATAAAGGTCCTCCCATGACTCTAGTGATGATAATAGTATTTGGTCCATGATATACTAGTTGCACAATTTTGTTTGTGGAACTGGTCTCCTTTTAGATGGCCCCAGAGAAGGACTTCCCTTTCATACTGGGCATGTTACAAATCCAAAGAATAGTAACATCAAGCAAAGAAAAAAGGAAGAGAAAATGAAGCAAAATTACTTTGTATATCACAGACATTTAGCTTAATGTCCTGTGTGATCATTTATTGCATAACTCCTTGAAGTAGTCCAGGGACTGGCAGCAGAGCTGGCCTTCAGCTCCCATGGGGAAGCTCCTATACTATGTAAGGGAAAGCGAAGAGAAGGGCAGTCTCTACCCCTGAGGCAAAGATAATAAGAATTAGGTACTCTATGAGTAAACCTACATGCTCTGAGGGGGGACAGTGACATGCTGGTTTGTATTCAGGAATATTCCCAAGCCCAAACTCTCTCCCATCTCCCAGCCCATTCTGGAAGCCCAAGATCCTCTTATATTCCCACTATGGCCACTTCTCAGTGACATAGAGGTCTCTTCTTTTTCCTGAATGTCTTCAGCAGGTAATTTAGGTCTTTCTATGTCTCATCATGCTAAGAAGCCCAGACAGAAGAGACTGTCAAGCTCCATGTAGCTGGCTATGGGAAAGCAGGAATGGGTCAGGTAAAGGCATTGATTCCTAGGAGGCTGGAAGATTTAGATTTTAAATGATCTGAGTAGCCTTTTCTGTACTGTGTTTGGAAGGAAGCTTTTAAACTGTGTTGATTGCTCGGGATAAAATACAGCTTTGTTACTGGTTAGACAGAATGGTAGACAGAGTCTGATTATTTTAACCCACTGCTGATCCATAGGACGTGGATAAACCTGTACTTTCTAGATTTACAGATTCTCAGGAGCAGGAGTACAGGACTGCTTACGGAAGTACTGACCTGAAGGATCTCAGAACTTTTGGATGCGTAATAAATGTAACCATTTCAAAACCAACTCAAAAGTCAAAATGTTTCCATACTGCAACTGGTAACAAATTCTGGGATTAGGCCTCACCTATAATGAGGAGTTTTCCTTTGGAGACTCAGAAAACCAAGGGTCTCATCACTAGGATGTAGGGAAACTGCCAATTTTTTTTTTTTTTAAACAGGGCTGAAATTTAGACCTTAAACTGGTAAAAGCATAAAATGTTTCAGAAAGCAGAGTAGAAACAACCCTTTAGTGGGCACTGGGGGAGACAAATTCCTGCCACAACTCCCAGCCCCAAAGGAATTGGTAAACCAAGGGTCATTCTAAGGATCAAGGATAGAAGGGGTAGCCAGCCAGTTGGCACCAGGCTGGTTTAGTAGATTAGTATGTCAGGGTAGGGGGGAAATTTACAGGGTGGGGATTTTAGTGTAGTCATTAGTGTCAATGAGGAAGCCAGTAGGACTTGCCTCAGGATGGAAAAGGCCCAAGTGAATAACATACTTACTCTCTAGATATCCTAGGGAGGAAGGTCATTGGGAGACAGAACCATGGGAAACAAAGTTAAAACGGAAACATCAGTCCTTGACACCATGTCAGTCTCTTGGTTCCAAACACATAGTGCTACATCCTGCTCTTGCCTTCCTTCCATTCTCTTCCTTTTCTCTCTCTCTCTACCACAGAACACAATAAGAAAGATACACTTTGACTTCCCCTGCTTCAGGCTCTGCTCTGACCTCCTGACTCTGGGCTTTGCCTTCCTAGGACTTCAGACATGCTTGACTGGTCATTTATGTAGACTTTCTGCACTGTCTAGATGTGGGTGCTCTTCTGACCAGTCATTCCAATTTTAAGAGAAAGCTGCCCTTTAACATGAGTCTTAGTCTCTGGTATGCCAGCTCTTGCTAGCTAAATGAGCAAAAGGCAGAGACAGGCTGCACCGCACAGGTCAAAATTCAGGTCAGATGAAAGTTTCAATAATTCCCAGGACTTCTCTGATAGGAACCAGAGAAATCTCCTGCTCTGTGGGGCTGCTCTGTGTATCATCATAGCCCAGGTGACTCTGACCATTCTCACTGTGCTCACCAGGTGAGCCTGAGCCCCAAAGTAAGGCAGCTTCCTTTCTTATTTGCTCTAAAGACACTTTGCCATCAGGCTGACAGTGTCAGTGTCAGAACACAGTACTGTCAGAGTCTAGTACTGTTAGAGGTCTATTTGGCCTTATTTGTTGGACTCCAGAATTAAGAGGCTATAAGAGGAAGACTAGCCTGTCAAGTACAATGATTGAGACAGCTGACAGCACCCATGATAACTTCAAGAAGAAGGAAGATTTTCCAGATATTGGGACCAGGAAAATTATCTTGACATCCCCTTATCCCAACTTCTCCTCTTCTCAACACAGGCCATGTCACTGGGTACTCACTTTTCAAGCAGTGTCAGAGCTGTTACAGGATTTACCCGTAGGTACTTGCAGTTGGGCTGGCCATAATCAGCAAGGTAGGTCGACCAGTCCCACTGGATGAAGAGATCCAAAAGCTGTAAAACATCCAAATCACACAGTAGGGATTAACCAGGCAGACAAGACAAACCAGAATCCCAGAAAATCCCATCTGTTTACTAGTAGCTAACAGATTTGAAATAGTAGAAATAAAATTGTCATAAAAATGGCTACAGACCATAGAGCAACTTAAAAAATGAATAAACATTAGAAGATGGTCTATGCCACAAGCACGGTGACACTGCTAAGCCTAAAGGCCAGCAGTAAGCCCTGAAAGGCAGGCCTGTAAAGATTAACACTGAACTGATCCAAAACACAAGACTCATGGTAATCATTTACTTATTTATTTAATAAATACTCATCTAATACCTTCCACATGCCAAGCAGCATGCTGAAGGCTCAGTATCAAACCATTTACTAATAAAAGTGGATATAGCCCAGTGCTAGAGCATACTTTTCAACTTTGGTTAATTTAAAACTGATACTATGCATATTGTAATTCTATAGATTGACCTCAAGTTTGTTAGAGCCTTTTCGTTATTGGTTAATTTAAAACTGATACTATGCATATTGTAATTCTACAGATTGACCTCAAGTTTGTTAGAGCCTTTTCGTTACTGCTTCATTATATGACACAGCCTAGGATCCATAATTACACTTCATTGTCATGTCTCTTTAGTCTCTTTTAATTGGGAATATTCTCACAGCCTTTTCCTTTTTTACATGATTTTGGTATTTTTTGAAAGAATATTATCCCCCTGCCTCTATTTTTTTTCTCGACTTGGTATGCTGCTTTCTCGTAAGATTCAAGACATGCATTCCTGACCAGAATACTCCATAAGTAACGCCATGTCTTCCTCAAGCTACTACATCTGGAAGCAAACAGTATTTGTTTGTCCCTCACTGAAGATAATTTTGATCACCTGATCAAGAAGTTTTCTGATTTCTCCACTGTCTTGTTATGCTTTCCACTGGAACTAATAAACAATTGGGAAGACTAAGACCAGGAAAATACACTGTTCCTGATTAAAGTTTTCACTTATCGTTAAGTGAAGATTCTTGCCTGATCCAATATTCACTATGTTGGTTGCAAACTTATACTATTCCACCAAATCCTTCTCTCCATGTTTATCACCTGTCAATCATTCTACCGTGAAGAATTGTTCTTTCCTTTCACTTGGTTAATACGTTTATCAAATGATTATTGATAAGGACTGATGCATTCCCACCTTTCAATGGCTTATATTCATTGCTCTGCATATAGTTTTGGTACTACAACTGTCCCAGATTTGGCAAATGGGAGTCCCTTCACACAGATGGCTTTTTGTGACAGCCCCCATAATTTCGTGGGTACTTTCTGGTATTTTAGGAAGTTAGGTTCATGTTGGTTGCATTCATCTGGTGGCATGGCTGCAATCAGTCCTTTCTCTGAGAAGACTGTTTCAGTGGGAAAGTTAACTGGAGATCAAGATTTAGGTGGTAGATATCTTCATTATTACTGGTATGTCTGTTCAATGCTACTTACTGGGGGGCCAATATGTGGGGAGCTAAGCTCTTTTAGTAGACTGAGCTAGGAATACTATGGATATAAATATAAATACAAATATATATTTTAGAAATTATAATTTCACATCAATACCCCAGTTCAAATCCATTCTCAGTGTTCCTTTTTTGCCTTCCCAGTGAGAATCCTAGTGTCCCATTTGCTCAGTCCTCAGATACAGCTACACTGCTTTCAGAATTGTTTGTACCTAGCACTAAAAAAAATGCTACCTAAAATGAGTTCAAGATTTGTTTGCAATGCTCCCTCCCAAGTGAAGATTAAATGTATATACTATCAAGTAATGTGTTTATAAATCTCTTTTCCCACCTCAGTGTAGTTACAGTATTCATCTAAATGCATTTAGGATCTTCCTTTTCATTTGTTTTTAGTTTTAGGCTTTTCCTCCCATCCTTGGTAATTTTTTAAATATGTATGGCATCAGTATGCTTACAAAAGGTAAAACTGTACCAAAAGGTTAACCTGGAGAAGCAGCGCTCCTTCCTTTATTGTATTCCTTTTACTCCAATTTGTTCTGTGCTCTGTAAGTCACCAACTTCACTGTTTTTAGTTTGTTTTTGCTACATTACTATTTGTAAAGATAAAGGAGAGATAAGTATCCTTTCACATCTCTCCTTTTATTCTTTTAAAGAAAGTAACACATGTGCACTTCAAGCATCTTACGTTTTGATAAGTAGGTGGTGGACAAAGAATAAAAAAAAACAGAATCAGAGGTGGAGGACAGAACTAACAATCATTGTTCCCCAAATTTTATTATGAAATCATCTTCAAAATTTTTACCATAACTTCATGATACATATATCGATATTTATGTCATATTTTAATAGATCCATGTTTTAATGTTAATAAAATTTAAAAGAACACTTTACATCACTCTCTGAATGGGAAACCACTACACTTGCCATAAATAGTAGGTAAATACTGGCAC